GGCACCGCCTCATTGAACAATTTTCTTTTTTCCAAATCGTGAGAGTATTGTAACATCGTACATTCTGCTGTTCCACCTCATAGCCTGCATGGTTCCTCCCCATGAAGCTGCCTCTTAGGAAAAGATCAGACGGAGAGTACGGTGAGTCCTCACGCTGCGTTAGGTTAGAAGCAAGCTCTGCTGGGTTCCCATGCAGTTCAGAACAAACTCTTACGTTTACATCAATTGATTTGAAAGAAACACTTCATTGAAGTATGATTGATGTACAAAAAGCTATACATATTTAATGTACACAACTCGATGAGTTTAGAGAGAAGCGCACACCCACAAAACCACTACCGCAGTCAACGCTGCCACCGTGTCTGTCACTTCCACCGGTCTCCGCCTGCCCTCTTTAGCGTTATTACTGTGTCTTTAGTATTTTACAGTATGAACACTTAACACAAGATCTGCTGGCCTGTGCAGCTTTCTGTTGCTATAACAAACACCTGAGGCAGAGCAACTGAAAAGGAGGAAAGGTTTATTTTGATTCACAGCTTTGGAGCTGTCAGCCCGTGATTCATTGCTGTTTGGGGGCCTGTGGTGAGGATACAGGTCACACAAAGCTGCTCATCTCAGCTGGGAAGAGGAGAGAAGAGGAAAGGGCTGGGGCCCACTGTCCCCTTGAAGGGACTTAGACCCCCACCAGGCCCCACCTCTTACAGCTCCACCTCCTCTCCTTAAGGCCAAGCTGGGGACTAAGTCTTTGGGGCTTTTAAGATCTCGGGAGGCTGAGGCAGGAGGATCACTGCGAGTTTGAGCCCAGCCTGGGCTATAAAGTGAGCTCATGGCCAGCCTGAACTGCATAGAGAGACCCTGTCTCAAAAAGACAGAAAGAAAAAGATCTAAACTGGGCATCCACCCTCTTAGCAGATGTTGCAGTAGATAATATTGTTATCTACAGGCTCTGCACTCTCTGGGACTCACTCATTTGGTGCAGCTGAAGCTTTGTAATTTTTTTTTAGTACCAGGAATCGAACTCACGACCTCGCACTCACCAGCAAGGTGCTGTGCTGCTGAGCTATATCCACTGCTACCTTTAGCTTTGTATTCCTGACTAACATCTCCCTGGTCCCTCCACTTCAACTCCTGGAATTCACTATTTCGAGAAGATTTGCTGTATGGGTTTGACTATTTTAGATCCTTCATCAAAGGGGCATGGTGTAGTAATTTTCCTTCTGTGTCTGGGTTACTTTAATTAGCAGTGTGTCCTCTGAGTTCATCTGTGTTGTCACAAGTGGCAATTTCCTTCTTTTTTTAATGTTCTGTTGCAGGTCTATGGCACGTTTTCTTCATCCATTCATTCCTCCGTGAACACTCAGATCACGTCTGTATCTCATGTATTGTGAGGGATGCTGAGGGGTACACGGAATTGCAGGTTGTCATGTCCAGCACAGCACTTGAAACTCCGGAAGGAGGACGGTGGAGGATGAAGAAGACAGGAGTCATCATACAAAAGCTGAGGTCAGGTGGAGCCCTCTCTCCTGATGGGAGAAAGGAACTGCCCGGCAGCTGCAGGGTATTCATTTATACAATTGGCATAGGAATAGGTTCATGGAGAGTGTAAGAGGAGGGTAGGACCTGGGACAGCAGGAATACCTAACCTGTAGCAGAACAGCATGCCTTGGTGGCTTCATGGGGAACAAGAGGAAACTGTATTGTCTCAAGTGAAGGTCAAGTCATTATATGCACCAGCTCCCTGAGTGTGCACACTTCTCATGGGGCCCTGCCAAGCTCATGAGAAGCTGTGGCCTTGTCCTAGATACCCAAGGTACAGACAGCATTGCCCCCAATAGCAGGTGTCTCTTTGAGATCCTGATTCAACACTTTTGGATAGACACCTGTTAGGATGGGTATATTATTTTTTTTTTTTTAAAAAAAACAAGTATTAGTGAGAATATGAAGAAAGGGAACTCTTATACACTGTTAGTGGGAATGCAAGCTGGTACAGGAAAAATAGGAAGGAGGTCCCTTAAATAATTAAAAATAGAAGGGTTGGGGATGTAGCTCAACAGTGCAGCACCTGCCTTGCAAACATAAGGTTCTGAGTTTGATTCCCAGTACCAAAAAATAAAATAAAAAAAATAGAACTACCATATGACAGTGATGGGTTTTTGACAAGGATGCCAAAATAATTGGGGTGGGGGAGGGTCTTTTCAACAAATGATGATGGGACACCTGGACAGTCACATGCAAATGGATGAGCTTGGACCCCTACCTCACACCATTCAGAAAATGGATCAGCTGCCTAAATGTTAAGAGCTAACACCATAAAAAAGATTTAGATGAAAACACAGGTGTACGTCTTTGTGACCTTGAGTTGGGTAGTGTATTCTTAGATGTAACATTGCTGTAGTTTGGATCTGGAATATAGCCCAGACTCTTTGTTGAAGACCTGTCCTCAGCTGGTGGCATTATTGGGAGGCAGTGGAAACTAGAGGTGATGCCTGGCTGAAGAGGTGGATCAGGGCATGCTTTCAAGGTTCTGTTTCTTTCTCGCTGTGTCTCAGCGTCTGTGTCTGTCTGTCTGTCCCTCTCCGCTCTCTTTTGGACACAGACACCAAAAATACAAGTTGGAATAAATAGATATAAATGCCTTTTGTTGCAAACTATACCATCAAGAAAGTAAAAATTCATAGAAAATATTTGTGAATCACGAATAAGGGCGTTGTATCCAAAATATATAAAGAATGTTTATAATTCAATAATTAAAAGACAATCCAATCAAAGTATTCGGGAAAGAACTGGATAGATATTTCTCCAGAGAAGATGGAGGATAAGCACCTGAAAACAGATGCTCAGCATCATTACCCTTTAGGGAAATGCAAATGAAACCCACAGTAAGATAGGGTGACACCCAGTGGGCTGGCTGTCATTTAAAAGAATAGCCTGCAGCAAAATGAAAAAGATAGAATGTAACACGCATTGGTGAGGATGTGGAGAAACTAGAGTCCCTCAACACCACTGATGCGAATGTAAAATAGCGTGACCACTTTGGAGAGCAGTCCGGCAGTTTCTTAGTAAATGCAGAGAATAGATAGATGACATATGGGGCATCCATACCACGCAATAATATCTGTCGATGAAAATGAATGAAGTATGTGGCTCTGATAGGTGCTACCACATGGTTGAACCTGGTGTTAAGTGAAAGTCTTCATCCCCAAACACCATGCGTTGTCTGATTTTATCTATATGAAATGCACAGGATAAGCAAAGCCACAGAGACATACAGTGGCTGCCAGAGATGGAGGGGAGGGGCAGGTTATTGGTATGGGGTTTTTTCCTTCAGGGAAGGCAAAGGTACTATAGATTGTGCACATGGTTGCACAAGCCTGTGAATATACCAAAATCCAGTGATTAGCAAGGAACTGTATGGCATTGTATGTGTACATGTGAGTCAGTATAGATGGCCAATGTATACTAATTCAGAGTGTATATGAGTTATGTGTGAGTTATATCCAAAAAAGCTGTTTGAAGAAAAAGATCACACGGCTCATGCTTGGATGACCTTTGTCACATAGACAGCATTGGTCATTGTCATCCCTGGGTACAAAGGACAGCAACACAACTGCTGAGGATTATTCCCCTGTTACATGCATTAGCAATTAGTAGCCTTTCAGCAAAATAAGCTGGGTTCAAATTTCCAATGCTGGATCATGGTCTCTTTACTATATAATTTACTAATGTGATATTCCAGCTCGGTAGCCAGCACTACACACAGGTGAATTTTGGGTTAGTGAGAGCAGGCGAATTTTAAGCACGCTAATGCCTCTTCCCCTAATTTGTGCATTCCCACAAAGGGAAGCCCGTCCCACCAGGCCAGAGTCAAATGGGAGCCCAGAAGCTCCGGGCGTGCAGCCACTGTTCATCCTGTTTGCTCCCAGTTAGAGTTTTGTGTGTGTGTCATTAAGTTTTCTTGCCAGCCGGGCTTCCCCTTCACACTCTGACCCCGTCCCTCCTGAGGCTCTGGAACCCGAGGGATGAAACCACCACCATCTCTGCCAGCTGCAAACGAACGGGGGCAGCCGCGGGGTCGAGCAGGGCTCCCTCTACCACCTCTACTTTCCTCAAGTGACCGCCATTAGCCCCTCCACCTGGCTTGACACATCTCCGTCCTCGGGAGCAAGTGACATTTTAGAATATCCTGCATGAAAAGGGGCCCCCTGTGCCCCTCAGCAAGGCCAAGGGCATCCTCGGCACCCCCAGCCCAGGGCACCTAGCTCGGGGCTTCCAGCCCTGCCGGTTTCCCAAGGCCATAGACGTGTGTTGTCCCATTTCTCTGAACCCTGAGGTCAGCCCCCTTCCTATTTATTGCTTTCTGCTGGCTTCATACTGGACTGTCACTTAGCAGCTTCCTGCCCGAATAGGAAAAGACCTTCTAATGAAAGTCCCCTTCACCCCAGGAGCCCTCGGGCATAACAGCCTCGGCAAGCAGATATTGTCCGGCTTCCCGGCTCTCAAGCGCCTGACCTGTACATAATTACAGAACGACCTACCCGACAAGGAAATGTTTGTTTACATGGAGTCTCTGCCGCCCGCCCCCGCTCCCCAGGGGATCCCTGGCACGGCTGACTCTCCCAGGGCCATTGTGAGGCTTCCGTCCGGTCCCCTCCTGTCGGTCTGCAGGCCAGGCAGGCAGCTGCAAGTAGACCAAGTGCGTGTTCTTGTGGGATAGCGCATGTGTGCCGCCTGAGCGTCTGCTTAGTCAGGCCTGCGGCAGGTACTCACAGAGCACATGGTACATGTCAGGCATTGCCATGGACACGGCAGTGTGTACGGGGCAAGTCTGATGCGGCTCTCTGCTCACGCAGCTGCAGTTCAGCTGGGCAGATGGGAAATAATAAAAGCTTTGACTGAAAGTTTAGGGCACAGGGAGAAAGAGGAGATCTGACCTAGTGGTATTGGGGAGCTGCAGAGAGAGAGAGAGAGAGAGAGAGAGAGATCCTTTGGGACTTTTGCCTTCACTGTATTCAGTTTTATTAATATAAAACTAGATGAGATGCATCATCTAGTTTTCATCATTCTAGTCTTCTTTTCTTTAGAAAGAAATTCAGCCTTTCTTTCACAGTCTTCTGAAGGTATCCCGGATCCTAGGCCCCATGTGTGCTGTGCCTTATGGAGAAGGTGGCTCTGGAAAAGGTTAGCCTGAGGAAAAGACAGCTGAGTTGAGTTGTGCAGAATAAACAGGAGTTAATTCAGGGAGCCAGGGTGTGTGTGTGTGTGTGGGGGGCGGCTAGGCAATAGAAACAGCATGTGCAAAGGTCCTGTGGTAGAGAGAACTAGTCCTTCTCCAAGCATCTCCATGAGTGGCTGGAGACATGGCTCCATGGTAGAATGATTGGCTAGCATGTGCAAGGCTCTAGGTTCAATCCCAGTGCTGCAGACTCCATGCAATGTGGTTCAGAGAGCAAGGGGAAGCAGGGAGAAGGCTGGAGAGAAAGCCAGACCGGTTGTGACCTTCACCCCAGAGCAGCAGGAAATCATTGCAAGTTTCAAGGCAGAGGGTTGAATGATAAGGAAGGGCGGCCAGAGAACCAGACAGCGGGACCCAGTCTGGAATTGGACGTGCACGCCAGCGGGGTGAGAAGAGGTTGACAGAGACGCGCTGCTGGTCTGTGTGACTAGGGAAGGCAAGACCATGTTTCCTCTAAACATGGTTGCATCCCTGCCCTGGGGGTTCTTGGGACATGGGTTCTGGGCAGAGATCTGTGTAGGTTGACGGGGCTGTGTTCTTGGGATCTGTACCCAGGGCAGGCCTGGGCAGGCGCAGGGGGAGCTCAGACAGTGCCTCGGGGCTCCTGGGGCCGGCATGGCCTCTTGGGCGGCCTTTGCGCTCTGTTGGATGAGGGAGGGCACCGAATCTGGGGCAGTAGCTCTCTCTGGCTGGGGACAGTTCCTGTAGGAACTGAGCTTTCTGCAGCCGATGGGGGCTCTGGGAGATGTATTTCTTAGCCCAGTGGGGCCCCTGGACAGCTCACACCGCTCAGCAAGCGCATCCCTCTAGGCACTGAGGCCCTCAGCCCTCTGGCCTGTACGGGTGAGTTCTCTCTGCCATGGCCCGGGATTTCTCGGAGCCCCACCTCCTCAGCTAACTTTGTACCCCATGCAGGTGAAAAGAGGCCCGTTTGCAGGTGGGGTATTCAAGTTTACCCTGGATGGAGACCCCGACTTTACTTTCTCTTTTCAAAGTTTCTCGGAGCTATTGCTCCTTGTTGAGTAGGAGCAAATCTTCCTTTCTTCTGAGTTTGCATTTATCAGAGGTAATTCTGGTGCAAAAGGTCAGCTAAGCCCAAGAGCGTTACCCCTGTAGCACTGTTTCAGACACATCACAGGCCTGCGGGGATGGCAGCTGAGGATGGTATTGGATTCCAGGCGACTGACTGACCAGCCCGTTCCGTGGACACTGGGACTCTGTGAGCTTGGGACACCTCCAACCGTTATCTGGAAAAGTCTGGAAACCTCACCTTGATCGCTCAGTAGGATTCGGTGGTTCTGACCTAGCTGGGCATTGGAATCACCTAGTGAACTCACCTAGTTGCTTTCAAATTGATACTGGGGGCTGACGGGGTGGAGCTCAGTGGCAGAGTGCTGGCCTGGCATGGGCAAGGTTCACGTCTCCAGCACTGCAAAGGAACGAGAGCAAAAATTTGATCCCAGGCCATGGGCTCCACCTCAGGGATCTCATAGCCCGGGCTTTCGGGAGCTCCCCAGAGCTGAAGATCTCTGTGTGCTGCTCACCCTTCCTGGAGTGTCCTGTACTTCAGAATTTCAGGAATCTTTCAACCAGAAATCTCAGCAGATTCCAATCTCAAAATGATCCAGGCTGCCTTGGGGCTGGTTTGCTTTCATTCTGAGGGTGAACTGATAAGCGAGCTCTACCCCACAGTTCAGTGTAGCAGTGTTTGATGGAGTAGTTTGGAGCTTTTGTGAACACAAAGGCAAAAATTTTCTCTGCTCTCAAGAATAGACTCAAGTGAGAAAAGCTCACACGCACAGAAACAACCATCTATTTATCCACTGAAAATGTGTGGATTTGCTGCGTCGGACACTGGGCTACAGCAAGTTTGAGACAGACATGGCCACGAGGCTCCGGTCCTCACAGTCTGGTAAGGGAGACAGAGCTTCCGTCGCTGTGTGTTGTTACTTTAGGGGAAATAAAGTCATCAGGGATGGGAGCAGCATCCCGACTGTCGTGTAAGACAGGATGTGGCATGTGTTACAATAAAAGCACAGGCTCCAGATGGGGGAAGACAGGCGGGAGGCCACAAACTCTGGGTGGGGGTAGAAAATGCTTCCTGTGCCCCTGAGTTGAACTTGGAGAGGTGGCACTGTTGAAAAATGGATGAATGAGGGAGAAAAGTCCAGACAGGGGAAGCTGTGGTGACAAAAGCCACTCCACACCCGATGGGAAAGTGCTAAATAAGAGGAGGAGAAGGAGGAGGAGGAGGAGGCGGAGGAGGAGGAGGAGGCGGCGGAGGAGGAGGAGGCCGAGGAAGAGACCTCAG